ACTGAATTGTACTTTTGGCTAAGCAACCAACAGCTATGCAAATAATGTCTACCGCTGAATGCCATCTTACTTAAAGTGCACGTGTTACTTGCATTAAATTTTTTGCGATACTTGATAAATGATTAGATGCGCAATCGTCGATGATAAAAAGTGTATTTACCCTGTCAAATAATTTTTGGTAAAGTTCAATTGCCTTCTTTAACTCTAGTCGTTCCCTATCTAAATCGCAAAGAAAAACATCGTCGTCTGTGTACGTCCATAGCCATTCTAAATAAGTGGGACAAATAATTACGATCGCTTCAAATGCAAACCGATATTCAGTTTCCAATAAATCAAGCACCCATTTTGTTTTACCCGACCCAGTATTATTGATAATTAAAGTGCAATGCGGTGATTTAAACATCTTTGCACTCATTTTATTTCAAACTCAACAAACTTAATACACCAGACTCTTGAAATTTCCGTCTTCAACCGCTAGTCGAGCGTCCATCACCAAAAATACGTACATCATCAACGGCCCCGCGGTTTCGGCCTTGCGTTCCATCTGAATCGATATATCCCCGCCGCCGCCTAGAGGTCTACCTGACCCGTGAGCCGAGTTATCGTCGGAACTTCTGAAATCGAGCCACAAGCCGTACTTATCTTTCAAATAGTCAGCCATATCAACCCCCGTTGAATTTAAATCTTTCACCACCGCTCTTGCCGATTCGGTATCTGAGTCTCCAAAGTACTTAGTCACCTCGTTCCAATATTGATATTCAAACAACCCCTGCGAGTACAATTGATTTGGTTTACCTTCAACCGTGATGATCGTCTTTGTAACGTGCAGATTGTAAAATCTCTGGGGGTTTTTGATAGCTGGGTCTTTAAACAAAATCAAAACGCCTTCCAAGCTCTTGATCGTTTGATCGATGCTAATGTTCCATAACGTGTCCGACTTATTGACCGCTTGTTTTTTCCACGAGTGTATCCGGTCGAATAGGTAATAGACGAGCCCTTTGTGTCTGCTCTTCCTTCAAAGCTTGGGCCAGGTCTCGATTGGTTACTACTTCATATTCTAGGGTAAGGTCTGAAATTGAGTACTCGGCTGCGGTGTCTGACGAGTTAACTACTTAAAACCGTTAAAAGTCAATTGATACGTCAAAGGCTCTTTGAAACCTGACGGATAGAAAGGCCCGTGATCCGTCAACATCGGCATGTCCAGTGGAATGGCATATCTGCTTTTGAAAGTGTCCGCAATTGCTTTATCTTTACCGTTGTTTTTATCATCAGAACCCAAACATATCTTGGCCACGTTTTCCTTTTCTAAACCAAAGTACGCCATATTTTTAGTCTGCGACAGAGGCATTCAATTGTCCTTAAAATTATGAAACATGTCTGCATCTCGGTAACTTATGATTTTATTGCCTTGTGAGCTTACGTTGATTTCTGAAACCAGGTTTCTCGCCACGTTGTTGTACACGGTGCGGTTGTCGTCGGATGCGCCGTCTAGATCGAGTTTAAAAGCCAACTTTGCCGTGCAGGGTACAATTACGTCGTCCATGCCTAAAGCGGGGAATTTTACGTTAAACGTGTGACCCGCGGCTATCGTACTCGGGTTGTGGGTAATAGTTACTTCGCGTCTTTTGCCTTTGATCGTGCGAGGTACTTTGAGCCTGCGACTCGGGTTTAGTTTTTTAGTGTATTGTTGAGACATATTACTTTTATATTATACGATTTTTATTTTACTGCAAAATCTTAAAGAGGAAAGAAAAAGCAACAAAGGATACACCAACCGCAAAAAACAGGTCTTCGTATTCCATTAGTTGACTTTGCTTTCTGAACGTTTCTTTTTGGATATCGCCAATGTGATAATATCTGTGCATATGTCACCCAGCATCTGCTCGATGTTTGTATGATCGGTTTGAATCTCAATTAACTTGTCTTTAATTTCGCCATTCATTTAATTTACTTATTTTAAAAATGGCTAGTGCTTTAATGATGGTTGGAGGAGCTATAGTAAACGCCTTGGCATTCACAGGCTCAAATTTTTTATTTGGTAGTCTAGCTAAATGTAAAGTCGACGAAGAACAAAGCGTCAAGACCTTGCGTTAGAGCAATTGGCGCAAGCAAAAGAATCCTCGGAGCAAAACTGCGTACACGTATTAGACTTTTTAAACGAACGAATGCGACAAGAACCCGCGAGTCAGCAAACTTTTGTAAACGTGGACGAAGCATTACGAGCTTACAGCGAATTGACCGCCAGTAGCTTGAAACCATTCATTGGGAATTGACATATTTTCGGGGGCAGGTGGGAAGTCATTGTGTTTGTCATGCAAGTCTTGCGGATAGTCTAAAGTCACTTCAAACATGTAACCACGTGTGTCATTTGGTGGAATTTTAAGAATAAACTCGGGAGTAAATTTGTCTAAGTTTTTTAGCCACTGAAACTCACCCATGGGTAACGATTGACTCATGGCCCAGCCGTACAAATTGTTGGCGTCTAGGTACATGATGTGCGACTCTGGTTGATTTGGGTCGTAGTCTGGTAGGCCCGGGTTGTTCGCCTTGCATAATGCTTTGCACCCCCACTCGAGATACCACCTCTTTTTGCCCTTTCAAAGAACAAGTGCTTGTCTATGTCTGTCAGTAGTTCCAGTTTAAAACCTGTGTGCTTCAAAAGAGCGTCCCACGACAGGCCCGGCGACGTGTAATAGTTAGCTGGGTCAAGGCTGTAGTTCTGTTTACAGACTTTGCGGAAGTTCTCAAATACACCTGCTAGTAGTAACACGTCTGTTTCCACGTATACATGTAGGCCGTGGTAGTCGCCTAGGTTTTTGCAGTTAAACGTGTGCCACACTTTTTGTGCCCTGAGGTGTTCTTTCTCGGTCACTGTGGATTGTTTCAAAGTGCTATAAAACGCGTCTCTAGGCGGTAGGTTACAATTTTCGTAGATTTTTTGTAACTCGGGTGACCAATTAATTGGCTTAGGATTTGCAAATGTTTTGTTGATCTTGTCTGCTTCCTCAGAAAGCGATCGTACAAAATTAAATGCCGCGTCTGTGCCACTGTAAGTCTCGCGTGAAGTGCAAATCCCGTCGCATCTGACAACTGCGTAAGAATAGCCACAAGGCTTATGGATTTGTGTTTTGGCCGTGTTTGTATCTGTTGGTGGTAACTTTTCTAAAACCGACTCAAAATCAGCATAAATGACAAAAGGTGCATCTTGCTTATTTTTATAATTTTCAAACTTGAGAATATTTTCGCCTTTGGCAGGTAATTCGACCTTAGACGCCGGTGCGTCAATTCCTTTATAATCCTCTTGATGTCGAGTAAGTCTTTCTTTCGTTTGAAAATGCGACAGGCATTTGAAGCACCAAAATAATTTACCGGTATGTTTTGTAGCACCGCACATCAACCTAGAGAAGTGTTTAATCCAACAATAATGGCTCTTTTCATCTTTGGTAAAATAAAGTAAATTAATGGGCTCTTCTGCGCACTTACTTTAGTAAAGCACGTAAGTACCTTCTTTCCCGGTATACCCAAATACATTGATAGCCAAATTATTTTGTGATTCAATACGTGGGATCTGAGATATGGGTGTTGGAAAGTCAACATTTTTGAAATTTAGACCATCTTCTTTTGTGTAAGTCGTGGTGCGATCCTCGTGTATTTTATAATTCGGATTAATTTCTAACTGCCGTTTGACATTGTCTGAATACAATTTCAAAGCAGATCGCAACGACCAACGGATGCTTTCTTGGTCATCTTTATTTTGAACGTTAATAATTGCCTTTTTTACCGCTAAATACTTCGGTAGTGGAATATAAGTCGCGCCAACTGGGTTGTATTTTACCACGTTGATGTAAAAAGCTTTTACTTTATCAAACACCCAGCCAGAACCACGTTGTTTGTGAGCTTCCACGTCTTCTTTATGTTGTTCAATTTGATGATCCAATGCCTCTTTAATTCCTTTTTTAGAAAAGACCACGTTATTTTGGCTAGTAAACGTGAAAACGCCAAGTTGAGCCTCAGCCCCTGGCTTTTCCATTTTAAACTGAATCTTAATAGCCGTTTGTAATTTTAACGACCCAATTTCCTTAAACTCAGCGAGTGCTTTGTCTTTGATGTACTTTCTGTAAAACTAAAAAAAGTAAATTAAGTCGTCTTCGTAAAACTTCGGTATCAACTCCCAATTTCTGTACTTGTCTCTAAAGCGCCTAATTCTACGGATGTCCCCTTCCGTAATCACCTGTGGATCAATATACGCTTTAATCGCGGTGATCAAATCCTTTCGTAATATTTTTCCTTTTGCACCCGTAGCCGTAAATTCAATGTCGTTACCTTGAGCCACTTTTAACAGCTGGCTATACGACTGAAGAGCTAGATTTTTAAATTGTCTATGACTCTCTTGAATCGCTTTAACGAGTTCCGACTTTGTATGTTTTTTACGCTTTGGTGTCGGTAAAAGAATGTCACATCATTTAACTAATTCTGCCAAGAATGATTTTCTTAATTGTCTAAAGCCTGATAAAACAGGTTGGCGTTTTGGTTTGGCTTCCTCATTCATTCCTCTTTTATATATAGGTTTTTTTTTTTTACCTAATTTTTCTCAAAGACTCCAGACCAAAAGCATCATCTCTTTGTAACAATAGTAGGAAAGAACAGTATTTAATAAGCATGCCCCACCTTCAATCATCGTCCCTTTTTGCAGTAATCGGAAACTAAGTCACGGCAAAATTGGAACGTAGGTTTTATTAGAGCGAAATTATTTTGTTGGGTTTTCGGATCGCCGAGGGTGGAATGGCTTTATAAAATTTTTAAAAGGCGGGTCGCAGGGGTCTGGAGTGTTTCGATTTTGCCGTGGTTTAGTTTTGGTATTTTTTGGTAAACTGGGGGATGATGATTGAAGGTGGGGTGGGTCTAGTAAATACCGTTCTATACTACTAAAGTACAGTGTACAATTCCACAATTTCCAATACAAATTTGGAATCCCTTTCTCAGGAAAAGTTTGGCCTTACCGAGGTGTGTGGAGCTGTTGTCAATATTGGCCACACACAAGCTGCCTCCATCAAAGCCGTCCTCTGCGCCAATGGTGTGAGACCACCAGTCTCGCGCCTTGAAGAGAGACATGACTCGGCTTGGGATGGCAATATGTGATGGGCAGTTGAACTACATGAGAAACATAGGCCAAAATTTGTTATTGAATGGAATGAAATACACTTTTTTGTACAATGTAAAAAAAGACGGAGGGCCAGCATCACAGCCCTGGTGAGACTCATGCCGAATACGGTGAACACCAATTGCCTGTCGTCTAGTAGGCCTACTTCTTTTTCACCTGAATGACTACCCTCCCCCACATTAAATGTTGAAATTTTAGTCTTATTGGAAATAAAATATGGACATTCTCCTAAAAAGGTTATGACCCCTATATCAGAACTGCACTGAGCACACACAGTATTCAACCGCACACCACCACAGCCGTGACAGTAGACGTTATGTCAACTTTCATCTATAGTCTCAGTCTGTTCATGTAATTGGCCTTTTGTGAGTTAACTTTGAATAAAATCTGGCACACTTGAGTTATCTGATTGTACATTAACATATCAATTTGAATTCCGACTAAAGACACTGTTGCTATACAACGTGATTTGGGGCAAGGTTTTGCATAGTGACTATCATCTCTGGAATTGACTGGTTCCTTTGTGCCATTTTTATCCATTGAGAACAGTGTATTGGTGCAAGGCGTCTCTTATGTAACTAGGCAAAATGGTGTCTGTAGAATGGAGAATTCAAATTGCTATGTTCATGTGAATGTAAAGAACACAGTGTACCAATTTTGTTCAAATGTAACTAGCAAAAGGTTTCTTGTAGTTGAACTGTCATGAACGTATGTAGTAGGTACACTTCCTGGCATTGTCACAGCCGAGCGCTGCGCTAGTTTACATTAGACTTAAGCAACTATGAAGTAGTAAACTTGCATATATGCCAG